CAGTCCAATGGGGCCCCGTCTGTGGTGGTCTATTGGCTCTTCGAGGCGCACGCGGAACGCTACGCGCCGTACGCTCGGGTCTGGTTCTGTTCGGGCGGCGAGCTACCCTTACTCGCCGTCCGCAGACCCGCGCTTACGGTGGCCGGACTGCCGGAGATCATCCCTCAATCCCCGACGCCCGGAATGTCGCCTTCTGCGGCGGCTGGGGCGCGAGGAGGATAGTTCCCTCGCGCGCTCCGCCTCCTCCTTTGCGAGCATAATTGCTTCGCTATGAACCATGGCCTCGATTAAGGCTGGGCGCGAGAGGTCGCCGCCTCCGATCGCTTCCCTGAGGACACGGCGATGCTTAGCCCAGGCAGGGCATACCGCCACCGTATGCTCCACCGTATCCTCTAGGTGGTTCTCACAATGACGACACTCGGGCGTTTCCTCCCGCTGGTTTCGAAACAGGAACCTACCGAAGCTGCCGTGCCCGGTAAGCACCTGCGTCAGGCGGAAGGTGAGGACGCCGTGGCGTCTCTCAAGCCACTCCTCAAAAAGGGGTCTTACCGCTGCTATAACAGGGACCTCACGACGGGGACAGCGTTGGCCAGGAGGCGAGTCGTCGTGGCGGTGTCTCTGGACATCGCCAACGCCTTCAACTCGTTGCCCTGGAGCTGCATTTTGGAGGCACTCCGGTATCACCGGGTGCCTGCCTATCTCCGTCGTGTAGTCGAGGCTTACTCGACGGACAGATGCGTCATCTACCCCGGTCACCGGGGCGTGTGGAATCGGCGAGAGGTGTCGCGCGGTGTCCCACAGGGATCGGTCCTGGGAACTCTCCTGTGGAACATCGGATACGATTGGGTGCTACGCACCGACCTCCCGAGCGGCGTCAGCATTGTCTGTTATGTTGACGACACGCTGGTGCTGGCGAACGGGAGGTCGCATCAGGCGGCGGCCGACCTGATGTCACAAGCGGTTGCGACAGTCGTTGCAAGGATCCGGCAGTTGGGACTCGAGGTGGCGCTCCACAAGTCCGAGGCCATGTCTTTCTATGGCCGTCGGAGCGCGCCACCTCCAGGTGGGTCCCAAATAACGGCAGGAGGAGTTACCATCGGCGTCGAGTCGGCGATGAAGTACCTGGGTTTCGTTCTCGACAGCCGATGGAACTTCACGGAGCATTTTCGTCGTTTGGCCCCTAAGTTAGAACGTTCTGGGGCCGCGCTCAAGCGGCTCCTTCCCAACCTCGGGGGGCCAAACGCCTCCTGCCGGAGGTTGTATATGGGGATTGTGCGATCCATGGCCCTCTACGGTGCCCCTGTGTGGGCGCCGGACTTGAAGCGGCGGCCGGCTCGTACGCTGGTCGCGTCCCAGAGGGTCATGGCTATCCGAGTAATCCGCGGGTATCGCACGATCTCCGGGGAGGCGGCGAACCTCCTTGCCGGATCACCGCCGTGGGATCTAGAAGCGAAGGCGCTCGCGCGCGTCTACAGTTTGCGCGCAGACGCGCGTCGCCGGGGCGAAGATCCTCTGCCGCGCCAAATTAGTGCGTGGCGGAATGAGCTCCGGCGAGATCTCATGGCAGAGTGGAAACAACCACTGTCGCAACCGAGGGCCGGGCACGCTACCATAGCAGCGGTAAGACCCCTCTTTGAGGAGTGGCTTGAGAGACGCCACGGCGTCCTCACCTTCCGTCTGACGCAGGTGCTTACCGGGCACGGCAGCTTCGGTAGGTTCCTGTTTCGGATTCAGCGGGAGGAAACGCCCGAGTGTCGTCATTGTGAGGACCACCTAGAGGATACGGTGGAGCATACGGTAGCGGTATGCCCTGCCTGGGCTGAGCACCGCCGTATCCTTAGGGAAGTGATCGGCGGCGGCGACCTCTCGCGCCCGGCCTCAGTCGAGGCCATGGTGCGGAGTGAGAGGAACTGGGACGCCGTCTCCTCCTTTTGTGAAGCAGTCATGCTCGCAAAGAGAGAGGCGGCCCGCGTGAGGGAGCAATCCTCCTCCTCACGCCCCAGCAGCCGCAACCAGGCCCGAGCGTACGGCGCGTAGCGTTCCGCGCGCGCCTCAAAGAGCCATTCGACCACCACAGACGGGGCCCTAAAGGGCTGATGTCCAGCCGGGGTTGCGGGGTAAGCGCAATGAGGTACCGCGACCTCGGCACAGAGCAGGAGAAGGAACAGGGGGGTTTTTAGTCAGTAAGAGTCTGACACTCCCTCCTGCCCGGCCCTGGGCGGGAGAAGTCATTTGATGATTTTCCCCTCACAAAAAAAAAAACCGCTGCTATAATAGCGTGTCCGAGTTTGGAGCCCCCTGCACATAGAAAGTTTGATTAATCTAGATGAAGTAGTAAATAATGAAACTCCCCCAAACGGAATACGCGTTGATGATTATAGTGTCTGACCATAAAATGATCAAAAACTAAACGACATATGTAATGACTTACATTAATATAGAAACAAACGCGATCAGTTATTGGTGTTATTATATGTAGGCATAGGTCGCATTGTTTGAGTAATAGTATAGTTCAGTCCATATTTTTAAAGTTGTGAGTTGTATTGGTTGTTTAGCCATGTGTTTCAAACTATAAAGTGCTTCGTGATAAGATAACCTGCGCCCTCGGTACTGCGGAGTGACGTGGACCGGGTTTGGTACTCGTATGCTACATACATTGCAATGTTTTTGCCCAACGTCGCCGCGCCATTACGGCGTCGGCGTCGCCGGCGTCTGCAATCGATAACTTACCATTGCTTTGTATTAGCGGACGTTGCACTCCATGTTGTTAGTATACGAACAAACATACACTCACAACTTGGTCACACATCTTCGACCCTCACTTCTCTAGCTGCCATTTCATTCATGAAGCTGGTCAAATAAGAGGAAGTACAATAATGATTTCTTAATACGTTATAGTAAAAACTATTTGCTAGGGTTCTTTTAATGTTTACTTCTCTTCTAAGTTGTTATTATTATTATTCGTGGGATACACATTGTATTCAGTGTGAACAGGCTGACGTCGCAGTAGAAAATTTTGAAGCGGTTACGGTTTTAAAAGATCAGGAACACTAATTTGTTATTGCACTTATGCACTCGGTATTATAATGGTGCCAATAAAGTGTTAAATTTTTTTTGTTTGTTTTACATAATTATGTAGTTTTACACTTCATTGGTTTATCTTGTGAGTTTGTGAACATCAGCTACAAGCTTACAGGGTACAGTACCTACTTGTCTATGCGGAATTACGTGGCTGGTGTCTCTGGTCAAATATCCTGGCACTCGGGTCGCCGCTCCCGGAAATGGGCCGTATATAGCACGTCGCGGCGCCGCGACACACCTTCACACGTTCTCCTGCTAAATCGATTGACATCATTAAAATAAGTACTGCTTAAGTACAGGCACTGGTGGACAAATATTTCATACAATTATTTAAAACAATATGACAACTCTCTCTAACGGCGATGAGGTGGCCGATTCCCCATCAAATGGATACACAGAGGAAGTGTTACAGGTTACCGCGTTTCTATACCGCTTGATTCAGTTACAGTTTACGAAAGTGAATGAATAGCTTTCCGTTAAAGTGATTGCACGATGCGACTACTAACTGCGAACTAAAGTATCCGTCGCCCTCATCCGGATACTAACTTTCCACAGATTTAATTACACGCTTAATCTAAGTTCTGAGCTGAGCGCTCTCTCGCGCTGTCTTTAGCATCGAGCCTATGGACGCAGCCTACGGAAAAAAAGGTTTTAGTTTATTTTTCTACTTTGAGGTATCGTTGACTTGGGTTCACGGTTTAAATGTCTCGCATAAATTTCGCCTTTCTGGTATTATGTGCCTTAAATAACAAATTTCAAACTAATTGACATCGAAGGAGTATAAGGTCATACTATTTTCCCACTAATACCTTTCAAAATCGCGCGTCGCGACCTCGCTACTGTCTCTCTTTTTACTTTGCTTCCTAACATATCAAGAAATCAGCAATGTTGTGTAGCTTTTGCCCCCTATTCACATGTTCATACTAAGAAATTAGCTTTTAATAATTGGAACTTTCCGGTGAGTGGACTGCAGCTGGATCCGATACAGGTATTTCCCGAAACGTCGGGTGAAAGGTGAGGACGCCATCGTGCCAGCGTGCCCGAGGACAAGAGGTCTCACAACAGATTATGCAAATATGTGCTTTTAGTACAATTTAAGCCATCCTGATCCTGACATTTATCCGATGCGTAATATCGTTCTTTAATATTTTTGTACCACAGAGGTCCAAGACCGAAAAATATACACAAAACTCTTTTCATTATTATTTTATTTTCAGTTACAACATTTAGCAGACGATATTTCATTTCGTGGCGATATATTATGCATATCGGATTAGTTTATCTCGACCTTGTTATTTCAAGAACATAATCGTTCCGACATCATTTTGCGTGCATTTGCAATGACACCTACACTACCCATTCTTCAGTATGTAGTTATTTGCTCTCGATCTCAAGTTGATAGAGCGAGCTTCGGTACCCAAGAAACTAGTTGGCACATAGTTGATATAAATTAGTTTTTATGTTCAAATATATCTGGCGTATAGTGGCTATGTAGAAATTGACAAAAATGCCCTTAAACACTCAAGTGCGCCGCCTGGGTTGCGGGGCAAGCGCTACCTTAGTACCGCAGCCGCGGCAGGAAAAGGAACAGGATAGATTTTAATTAGCAAGTTTCTGACATTCCCTCTCGCCTCAAACTAGGCGTGAGAAGAAATTTGCAAAAAAATTTGACATCAAATGTTAAGAATATTAATTTTGTGATATATGCCAATGGGGCATAATTGTTCGTCTTCTCTCGGTAACTAAGAAACGTGTCGCGGAAAGTGCATTCAGTCGAATGTAATACAATCCGATTCAAAGTGGTAGGTACCTAATCGCTCATAGTCATCGACCGCGAAATGCTTTCATGGGTTCAATGGCCATAAATCGTCTTCGAAATGTATGCTTTAGGAAGTGAGGCTTTATTTATAGAGTTTGAAGCACGCGTCGCTCGCGCACGATGCGTGTTGCGCGGTGCTCGCGCTCGTCACTGCCGAGGCCAGGGGGGCGCAGTGGTCGCGCGGAGTCGCGCGCGCCCAGTCACGGTCGGTGCCTCGCTTGCCTCGGTCACACCGCACGTCGCCGCCGTATCATCGCGCACTATTTTTGTTTTTAAATCGCTTAAGAGTGCTAGTGATAATCCGATACCGTTTCGCCAATAGCAAGCTTCAGTGGTAGCTACGTGGACGACAAAACGGTGTGCCCGCTCTGTGCCGAATTGAAATTGTTCACGCTAACGAAACGTCGAGATAAATTCTTAGAGAGTGCATTTACAGGGGATTTTGTAGGAACAGTTACAGTATCCTTGTGTGAGTTGATAGTGTCGCCTTTTGTGAAACACGATGAGGCCGAAAGAGGAGGCTGACATGAAAGTCCAAACGGGGACCTTCATTCTGTCGGAGAAAATTGACGACACAAAGTCGAAGAAAAGCGAAAAAGAAATTAAAAAGGAGATGAAACGGCTCGAGAAAGAGAAACAAGAGAGGGAGAAGAGGGATAAAAAAGCAAGAGAAAAGGAAAAAGAGCGAGAAAAACAAGCAAAGAAAGGTAAGGTCAGTTTAGTATTAGAAACATGTTATAGAAACAGGTCTAGCGTTATCACTGAGTCACGTTATCATGATGTCATCTCTACTTTGCTAGGTCTGTCCTTCTGCGAGGCTGCGCCACGCGTGACACCCGACAGTCATAGAGTTGCTCATTAAACTCGTCCACATTGATCCGAGTATTCCGAGTCTATTGTTGTTACGATTACATCATTAGTGACTTGACTTGACCTTGACTGACGTCAGTTATCAAGCATTCTCGATGATTACTCAGTATTTGTAGCGGACTGATTATATTTATCAGTGGAACTATTTGTAGTTGTCTTCGAGTCCTGGCGATATTTTTTCGGAGCTCGCTTACAGGACTAATCATTTCCTTGACATTATAGCTGACGAGTCATTATTTATTACGCATTCCGAATCGCATAAACTCGTTTGGGATAATATCGTGTAGGTATACAAATACATAGGTATTATGCATATAATAACATTATGATATAGTAAAGATTTTGCTGTGCAGCTGGAGCGTTCACTTTGTTGATAAAGTCCTGTGATGCTCACTTATAAGTATAGGAGTAAAAGATCTTTTACGGGTTCATGATATTCGGAAAGTTTCTTAATGTTTTTGTTTGTTTTCCGCCGTTTCAATCATGTGTCTGTGGATGGCGTTATTACATTATTTATTTAATGCTAATTGTGATATTTATAATTGTATATTGAGGCACTTATTTAACCTGTTCAATAACGTGTATGTGTAATTACAACTCTACATTTGAGTTAGCCGAGTTTTGTATTCGTAACTAAACTCAGATGGTTTCCAGTCTAGTATTCACTTCCTTAGTATATTTATGTGTCCTGAATTGTTTTAAAGGCTAAGAGTGACAGTAGACTGTAGTCTTTGCCCTACGTTACTTAAAGGACAGTGAACCTGACGAGTAGTCTTTCTTTAGCTTCACTTTCATTTCAGTTTCACTAGTATCGTGCTCGTTGCAGCTGTTGTAAGCTAACATTTACCGAGGCATGCGAGCTCCTTCCACTGGCTCGCCCATTGCTGGGGTATACAAGCAATGGTCGATGTCGCCCTGTGTCGTGCACCGCGCAAAGCGTCACGACTCCGCATCCGATTCAATGGATTACATTATAGCAACGCTCGGTACGTCGCCGGCGCGTTGAGTCGAGAGAAATCCCTCCACTACATGCGCTTGCGCAGGGCCAGTGATTGCGCGTTGGTGTTCCTGCACCTACTTATTTGGTCAATTTGTACCGAAACAGCTTTCTTGTCGACTCGTTCGTTTCCTGTACATGAATTATTTGCAGTTTATGATTTCCTCGGTTCAGTTATTTTCACTTCACTACCGTAATGCTTTCGTTAGTTATTTGTAAACTTGGTTCAGTATAATTTAAACAAGATTTTAATATTAGGGTACAAATAGAATGTAGGTTCTCTAAATCGAGCGAACGACAACCGGTAACATGGTCGTCGTCCATGATTTGCTTGTGAACTTTCTACCTCCAGCAATGTCTCGAGCAGTGAGCGTGGCGGTGCGCGCTCCACTGCTTCCGAAAACGATCGCAACTTTACCGTTTACCTGCCGCACACTACATAACGTAATTATATTGTCCCACTTTACTTTACTTATGTAATGTGACGAGATCTTTTGTTCCAACATAATAATATTAAATATTAACGAAAGACGAGTGACATTTAAAAAGTGGGTTGAGGAGCCCGTAGAGTACTTAGTTCCAGCTCGGCAGCTCCAGCCTCCTCCAACTAATATGTTGTGTAGTCGACACTTCTCAATTTCAAACTGGAGGTGCTCCGTTTATAGAGTGCAGTAAACTCTGGCTATGAAATGTGAAATGTAGGTATGTGGTTCGTTTAATTTTACAAAAAAATCTGTTAACAGAGTCAGTCCTGGGGCAGAGTGCCTGAATAACTAATGAATGATCAAATAATTGTTAACACGGAATTAAAAATAATACTGTCAATTCAACTTTGCAGATAGAAATATTTGTGTCGTGCAAATGTTGCAACAAACGTTTCAATAAATGAATCAGTTGTAAAATGTAGTTTGGTCACACCAAGTCCCGATAGTATAATGTCGTTAATATTCTATGGACGTGTCGCGGTTACAGTACCGCCAGGTACTAGTTAGTGATGTAATGCGATTACCATGTTCAAGTAGAGCCGTTAGCCCGTGACTCAACTCATTTTGTAAACAAAGGGTTCTTTATGGCTACGATCTTGATTTGTATACGAAATCATATGTAGCTTTCAATCGTTTCAACATTCGCTCGTTGTAGAAGGAAGAGAGGTAGCAATCATGGTCGTGTTAGGACGCGCAGTGCTCAGTGACGATCTGGCGCTGGCGAACTAGTTTGTCTCTGCGTAGGGAAGGGCCAGATGTCCCTCGCCCCAAGCACGGGTGCCTGAGTATTGTCGCGGCCCGCGGTACCGATATAACCGAGAGGGTGGCGCGAGGCGGTCGTTCACTCGCTCGCAGCTGGCCCGCGCGCGCTGGGGTGCGCCCGGGACACCCACTGCTCTATTAAAACAACGTGTTGACTTCTAATTTAGGATTCATTGCTATAATAACAATTTCTATTTATTCCTAATCGTAAAAACATACAAAGTTCTAATCTGATACGTACGCATCAACTTAATACATTAAGGGTGCATGTATCGTAAGAAGTAGGTTCGGTGTCGCCAAAAATACAGTTCGTGCGTCCTTATTGTGAAATATATCTTTATTTTACTTTGAGGAAGTATTTAAAAGTGTAATTTATTCCTTTAAGAAAGCGCCTACTAAATGAATGTAGGTGCTAGGAATAATCATAAAATTGTTTAGAAAACGAAAATAGATCGTAATGACGGGCGTTCCATTCAGTCGTGCGTAGCTCGGCAGAGGTCGGCTGGGCGCGGCTGGCGGCTTCCACCGCGAGCCTTCCATTCAGTACTCGCGGGGCGACGTATGAGCTGCCGACCACTACCGACGACCCTCGTTATTATTGCACAATGCATTTAATAAGCATATTTAGCTTTAGATGTGCAAAGTTCAGTATCAAATCAATAATGAGCTGCTTAGTGTGTCAATACATGTGTAGCAGATAGAGTCGCCGCGCGTCGCGTCACCCACTTGCACAATCCACTTGTTGCGGCTTGCGACACGCGCGCTATCGCCGCCGACCTCCTGCTTCAGATATACCGACATCGCTTTGATAACAGCATGTCTAGGTCTCACAAATATCAGTTCGTGCCCGGATTTGTTACAAGATTGCATCGAGACCATTCATTCAATATTGCATTTAAGTATCCATTAACTGCACTTACCGCATTTTTTACTGATCCAAATCCTTGCTTAGTTCTGACTTCTTTGGTTATACTTGCGTTAAATGCCGTTATCATTATAAATAAAATAACAAGTAATCTTTATTATGAAAGATAATGAATTGTCCATAACCTACACTCCTATCTCCTCTGGTGTCGAGATGTCTCTAAGTATAGCAAATGGATCACATATAAAAATATTGAGGTTTCCTAGAGAGCTCCACTCAAAGATCTCGATTGGATTGTCTGTCTTGCCCCTGCTGACACTGGCTACTACTATTATTATTGAACTACTGTAGTCTACTCTGTTTGTTTCTGAGGTTTGTCTCTCAATCAGAGTGGAATAAACATAAGTCTTTTATTAGTTAATTGAACCAAAGGTATATTTTGTCGCATAATTGCTACCTAAACAGAGTAACGCCATTAGCATTACCGTGTTTCAAAGCGATGGACAGTTACTTTATACCAATGTTCCTATCAGCGACAGATACCAAGTCGGAATTATTCACCCGTCATTTTTATTCTGTTTTGAGATTCAAATGTCCTTTGTCGTTGTGCTTACGATCGCTTGCCTCGAAGTCAAATATACCTTACACGTCATAGGTTGAGGTAATTTTGCGAGAATACACACGTACATGGTCGCGACCGCTTCGTCTCGATCGACCGTGAAGCAGCATTACGTACTTGTGTGTAGTTGTACAGATAAGAATTTGGAGGAACGCACACAGGCTCACCGCACGCCCCGCCTCAAGGTCAAGGTGGGCCGTGTCCTCTACTGCACGGTGCGCTACAACTTACACTTCAACATTTTGTTGCTTTAAGCCATTTACTAGCGCGATGCAAAACGAATTGATTAAGTATATTGTAAAATTATAATCGGTTCTGTCATAAAGTCAAACAATTAATCGCAAGTTGACAAACGTGGCTCAGACTAGTATTACAATAGATCCCTAACTTGCCATGAACATTTTTACCTTAGCATTAAAGTTTATCATCTCAGCATCGAGCATGTTTTCTGGTTTTATACTTTTTTTAAATTTGTTCCCCTTTGTCGCCAAGTTTTACTTTTTTATCTTTCCGGCTTTGAATACAAGAGGATAAAACTGTCAACTGATGAAAAATAAGTTTAATTCGTCAAACCCCAAAAAGAACGCCGGCGTTCGTGCACCTATTGTTTTACTACCTATTGTGTCCCGAACTGTGAACTTAAAAACTGTGTAACTTAAATGTGTAACTTATATTTTCAAACGGCTCCCATTCTGCAAAATGTAATATATTTGTTTGCAACAAGTTATTTGTCGGTCCGCGTACATGTGTAGCTGTACCACATACCTTGTTATGTACATATGTAGTGAGGTAATGTGAACGTGTGTCATGTGATGCTTTGTACGCGACTGCTGAAATGGAATGTTTATTCCACCGTTACTCCTAAACTAATTCAATATTTCAACTCACTTCAACGAAAACCCAGGAATACTATAAGATTACAATTTGTAAGCCATGGGCAATATTATCCTACTACTATTATAAAGGCGAAAGTTTGTAAGTATGGATGTATGGATGTTTGTTACTCTTTCACGTATAAACTACTGAATGGATTTGAATGAAACTTTACCACAATATAGCTTATACATCAGAATAACACATAGGCTACAATTTTTGAGGTTTCTAATGTG